TGGGCTGTGATATTTGAATCATGTGTCTGTTACACATTTGAAAGTTGAAACAGATTAATTCAAAACTAACTTGAAACTAAGTTTTTTAATTAAATATATATTTTTAAAAGGCCAAGACAGTAGAATTTATATTAAAATGGGTAGTGCTGCACCTTTTGTTTTTGAAAAGTTTGTATTTGAAATGAAAAGAAGTGTTAATATCAATAATTTTGGAATAGAGTAATAGTTTATATATTGAACCTATGTAACTGGAGCTTTATTCCCTAAAAATATGTGAAACTTTGGAGTTCATTGTGCTTAATGATAATAACACATTTAATTATAAAAAATATGAATTGGATGTTAACATAATATGTCCTAAAGTTTATTTTTTTTTTACTTAAATTATAGGAAACATGTTGTTCTTATTTCTGCCAGCCCGCCAGCCAGAAGAGTCTGCTACCCTACATAAGACCTATTAATAATTACTATAAAAGATTATGATGTTATAGGCATGGACACATCTGCACACTTCATTTGACTGATCATTTTCATTGTCAAGATGTTTATATTTACCTATATACTGTATAAAAGCATTTATAACATGTAACCCATAGGATACTTTGTTTATGCCCATTCATTGTGACTTAAATAAAAGGACTCCATTTAGAATACATCATATCATTACAGATGACCATGCTCATTACATAATTGAACTGCTTTCAGGTAGTGTTTGTGAAAAACAATACTTCATTTAAACCTTTTACAGTTCATGAATAGGGAGCGCAGGGTTCAATTTTCGCTCACCTTAAACCTCAGGTATGACCTTAATCTTTTAATCTTCTAATTATTTCATTAAAGCATACTGTTGATGTTGACACACTATAACTTGCACCTGGTTTATTAACTAATATAGTTTGATAACATAGGAAAGGTTAAATATAAAAAAGTGTCTTTTACATACTGATATTGTACTTCTAAACAATATGATCTTCCAAAAGGAATCTCATCTACCTATTTTGTATTTGAGCTTCTCCTTTACACCTTACTCTTGAATGTTGATTGTGTTGCATGTCTCTTAGCCTATTTGTTTCCCTATCAATCCTGCAATATAAAAAAATAAAAAAATAACTGTAATAAAATCTGGTCATAGAAATCAAGACTTACCAATTAGTTTGATGTTATTGATTACCCCGTGATGCATATATATCCATCATTCCTGTCGATTTTAATGAATGTTGGCCTCAGCCCTTTGTTGAACACATCAGTGAAGACATGGAAAATATGAGCTCATTACCTTCGTTAAAAAAAAAGCTCATTACCTGTTCATGGAAATTTTAGGTTCACACACCTTTAGAATAATGAGGAACATCAAGTCTTGTATGGCCCCGTCAAAAAAAAAGCTCATTACCAATTAGTTGCTTTGTTGTGTGATGTTGTTAAAATCATCATAGGGTTGTATTTATACTTAAATCTTTAAAGAGCCATTATCATCTTTCACAAATTACCCAATGGTTAATAGTATTTAATACTATAGGGGACTACTATAAACTAAATATTTAATTTAATACTCTGCAGTTTGCATGCCAACTCTATGCTGAATTAAAAGGACGGCTCTTTTGGACAACATTGAGCCACACAATTTTGAGCCACCAAGTTTGAAAAGTCAAAAGCTGAACTTATGGACTGCAGCACTTTATGGAGCCCCGTTCCTGCATTCAATGCCACTCTGAAGATCTGGCTGCTAGCCTTTTGTTAAAACCCACCCGACCCGTTAAAACCCGATCCGACCCGTTTTCTAAACAACACTTTGGGCGGGAACACTGTTCCTTTTTTCTCCTCCTTTTGTATAATAGAAGATATGTGCATTATTCTAATTCATTCATCGTTTATTTTGACCAATGAGCATTTAACTATTCAATAAGAAATGCATAATAATCACACTTTTTGTAATAACAACAGAACTAATGTTGTACAATTTTAAAGGAACAAAGAAAATACTACGTACATACTTTGGGTGAAAAAACGCATACTCCATACTACGGAGTACGTATATGTTCATTAGATCTCCCAAAGTTGTTTTAACGACGTGACTGCTCAAGCTAGTCATATGGACTAAAATTACAGTGTAATGTGTATCGTTATTTTCTTGCGTGTGATAATTATAAGTCTAATTCAACTTGCATTTCACATTTTACACTATCATCAAATAAACATAATTATCGACAACATGGAAGAAAGTTAGAGTTATTTGTGAGCTTTGGTGTATGTAAGTATGTTATGTATGCACGTGTTTTGTTGTATTTATTTGCTTTGGTGATGCCGAATGACATTTTTGTTGGTGTAGAATTGTACGAATCCATCTAAAGATGTTTCTGTCTCTACCTCATGTTTGAAGCATGATCGAATTTGACATTGCCCAACACATGCATTTGATATTAGACTTTCCACTATATTTTCAAAAAAGTTTGATTTTATACCCTGTTTTACTTAAAATTACTTTGATTTTGCATGTCAGTCATAAATTTCCGTCACAAAATGTCATGCGTTGGGAGCACTTGGGTACAAAATCAAGATTTTTTGAAAATGAAATGCAAAGTCGTCTAATATCATCCAAAAAGAGAAGTGCAAAGTCAAATTGTCTCATAGTATTGTATACCTTTTTGTTATCATAGTATTGTATATCTTATAAATTATGGTGAACTCAACACTAAATATATTAGATTTAAAGTATGTTATATCCATTTTTTACTTTTCCGATCCAATCAATGCAGATGAATTTTGACCGATCTTGTATTCAGTATATTTTTCGAAACTTATAAATTTTAGGGGAAAATAGTCTTAGTAACACTAAATTCATCAGTTTTTCTAAAATACTCCGTATGACATATGGCATAGCAATAGGAAGAATTAGTGCTGGACTCGGGTCGGGCGGCCCGAACCGGAACCGGCCCGGCCCGGTTACTGTGGGAACCGGACCGGCCCGGTGGCCCGGTCCACCGGCGGTTCGGGCCGAACCGGCCCGGTGGATACCGGTTCCGGGCGCGGGCCCTATATTTGGTGAACCGGCCCGGCCGGTTCGGGCCCGGTCCGGGCCGGAGTAATTTTTTTTTTAATTTTTTTTTGAAATTTTTTTAATTTTTGGGTTGGATTAGGTATTTTGGGCCATTTGAGGTGGTTTGGGGTGGTTTGGGGTTGAGGGGGAGGGGTAGGGGGTTAAATAAGAGAAGCAAAAAAATCAAAAAAAAAAGGGGGGGGCGGGTGAACCGGCCCGGAACCGGCCCGGTCTGGCCCGGAACCGGTCACCTGCCGGTTCGGGCCCGGGCCCTCCTTTTGGTGAACCGAGGCCCGGCCGGTTCAAGGCCCGAACCGGGCCCGGCCCGAACCGAGTCCAGCACTAGGAAGAATCATGAAAGATACACAGTTATGGCTAAAAAGATGATAGATATATCAAATGGCACAGGTATAACAACTATGGCTTTTGATTTCCAAAAACATAAAGGGCTTGTTTGGCAATTAGCGGTTAGAGGTTAGCGGTTAGCGGATAATGTTAGCAGGTTCTAAATAGCATATTAAATTAGCGGATTTGACCGACGGATTAGTATGACAGGTTATGAAAAGATGTTTGTTAAATACTCGTAGCTGTTTGCTTTTAGCCGTTAATGGATAAAAAGACAAAAAAGATATTTGTACATTTTAACATTTGTTTCTTTGTTGTTTGGCTAATTAGGGGGTTTGGATTCCAAAAAAATACAGGTTTGGATGTAACTTTTTGTATATAAAATAACGGGCTTGTCTTTATTTAAACATATTCATCCAAACTCTTCGATGTTATTATTATTTTCATGTTATACCATGTATATTTGATTTGGTGTGTATCAGTGTATGCATCAATCATCAATGCATGCAATACTACTCCCTGTGATATATAAGGTGCAGGACCCAGGCCACCACAATAAAAAATGAGATGCACTTCTATAATGTTGATGCTACTGGCTCACCATGTTTGACCGAAACGGGGATTAATAAAGTAAAAAATTGTGTGGTTGAGACTTGTGCAGAGGAAAGATAATTGGGAAAAGTACGGAAACGATACTTGTGGTTGAACCCGTTTTTAGATAGAGTCATGTGTTTCATTCTTTATCAAAGTGGTTCATGTCTTTGAATTCCGATATCACAAATGGGTCACGCCGTTAAAAACATCTGAAAAAGACAATTAAAAGTAACCCCGGTTTTCAAAAGTGGTCGAAAAATTAAAAGAAAAATGCCGGAAGGTGCGCCTCAATAAGACGACCGGTAGACCATCTTTCTTTTTTTGTTTTCAGCCACCCTTGTCACCGGAAAGTCCACCAGAAAAGTGATATTAACGAAATCTTTTTTCAAAAATAATTCAAACAGATCTGAAAAATCCAAAGGCGAAGGTGGTTTGGAGGTCATCTCGACGAGGCGCACCTTTCGGTATTTTTTTTTAAATTTTCCGGGCACTTTTGAAAATCGAAGTTACTTTTAACAGTCTTTTTCAGACGTTTATAACGGCGTGACCCCCTTGTGATAACGGAATTCAAACACATGGATCACTTTGATAAAGAATGAAACACATGACCTTATCTCAAAGCGGGTCCAACCACAAGTACCTTTTTCCGTACTTTTCCCAAGATAATTAATTGGAACCACAAATTTTTTACTTAAAAGGGAAAGTGGCAAAGTTAGTGAGCCATCCAAAAAAGGAAAGTTGGAAAAGTTTCAATGAAGAGAGGGAGTAATATATTATTCAGAATCGTTGAGTTCAAACGCTGCTCCTTGCAGTGTGTTAGCATTGGCATTTTGGAGCAAAAACGGTAATCCATTCCGGTCTTTACCAAACAATCATATTCGGCATTTTTTGATCAAAGTCAAACCTCCAATGGTAGTTGAAACACCGAAATTTGGCTGATCTTCTATTATCCAAACACAGCCAAAACGTTTCACTTTTTCCAAATATAAGACCCGGCTCCTTCATACGAAGTATTTCGGTTGTCTAAGGCAAGTGAACCGAGGCCCCTTTATTACGTTTGTGCTGGATCAAAGGACCACACGAACAGACAGAGAAGTCCTCCCAGCCGTTGCCATAGCCTCCCACGAATCTCGTAGCTGCCATCGCTTCCGATGAATCTCTCGGCCGCCCTCGCTCTCTGCTGCCATCGCTCTCCGCAGATGGATCCTCACTTAGTCCGCTTATTTCCGTATGGTTGGAGGAGTGCTGCCATCTCCACTCCAGGGCTGGAGGAGTGCTGCCATCGCTGCTTCAAGGGTCCACCGTCTCCGCTTCAGCCCTCGTCAGTCTCTGTCTCCGCTTCAGATCTCGACGGTCTGCATCGCCGCCACACCAGTCATCGACCTCCTGTGGTTTAGATCTGGTTCAGATTCGGCGACGATTTGTGTGGATGGCCGGCGAAGAGGGTCAAAACTGGGCGGGTAGAGTTATTGGGAGTGGTTAGGGTCGGCTGGTGGTGGTGGGGGTGGGCTGTTGTGGGCTGGTGGGGTAGGGGTGATATGTTGTACATTAGTGGGGCAGTGGAGGGGGGCTGGGGTCGGGAGTGGGACTCGGGAAATGGTGTGTATGGCAGGGGGCAGGTCAAGGAAAGTGGACCAAATGGTGGTGGGACAAGGCCTAGGTGCGGTGGTCACCGGAGGGGAGGGTGGTGGTAACTTACAGACTGGCAGTGGCCGGAGTAATTTTGTGTCACAGTGGGTGTCGAAGGCAGTTGCCGGTGGGTATTCACTTTGGCCGGTGGAGTCACTGTGACCGTAGTCACTTTAACGGGAGTCACTGTGACTGGTGGAGTCACTTTGGCCGGAGTCACTGACATAGTGACTGGCGGTGGCGGTGCCGCTAGCGGCGGCAATGGTGCTGGGGTCGACGGCCAGAGTGGTGGTGGCTGCAATAGAAATGTGAAAACAATAAATGTATAATTAAATACAAGGAATGAATGAGTTTTAGTCACTTTCAGGAAAAATTTAAAACATGTCACATTTTTATCTTTTTCATTAAATTTAGGGAAAAGGGGCAAATAAGCCCTCGAACTAATCAAAAAAGTGCAAATAAGCCCTTTTGTAGGAGGTTCTGTCGGATCATCGTCATTTGGGGAGGTTCTCGGTGGAATTTTTTGATGAATTTTTTTGAACATCTTCTTCATTAAGTCTAGTTTAGCCATACCGAATTTCAGCTAAAAATTCAACCGGGAAGGCACTCAAATGATTTTTGGAAATATACTGCGTTGTTTAACTGCGCAGTTATCTTCAAAAATTCATTTGACTGTCTTCCCGATTGAATTTTTAGCTGAAATTCAGTAGGACTAAACTAGACTTAATGAATTAGATGCTCAAAATATTTCATCAAAAAATTCCACCGTGAACCTCCCCAAATGACGATGACCGGACGGAACCTCCTACAAAAGGGCTTATTTGCACTTTTTTGATTAGTTCGAGGGCTTATTTGCCCCTTTTCCCTTAAATTTAAGGAGTGTTTGCAATAGATTAAAAAAAGCACTTTTCAACTTTTGGCTTAAAAAAGTTAAAAAGAGTGTTTTCAAATGACAGCTTCTGCTTAAATTAATCACTTAAAAGCTAAAAGCTAGAAGCAGGTGGAAGGGTGCTTTAAACTGCTTTTCACTTTTTCTATTACACAAAAAGTACTTATTTTACCAAACACTACCAACTTTTACTTTTTCAGAATCACATTTTCCTTAAACACTACCAACTTTTACTATTAATCACTTTTCCCCAAATCACTTTAAAAAATCACTTTTTTAAAGTTGAAGCAATTGCAAACACTCCCTTAGTAATATTGGAATAAAAAGGTCAAGATGATACACAAGTTAACATGGAAAATACATGAGTTTTAAATAATATTAATGGTATATATCTTCAAAATTTTATGCTAAGTATATGATAAGGTAGATTCTATGGTACCCTTGGCGCATCTCTAATGCTACAATGTGCACGGTGCGCATGTGGTACGAGAGATGGCCACATAAATATTAGTAAATAAATTATCTCTGTCTTTGTTTGAATGATTTTATACAATTTTGGAAGTTTTTCTCCACAATGTCAAGAAGACCGTCTACATGTAGACATTGTAATTGACATTGCAGAGAAAAACTTACCAAACTTGTATAAAATCATTTAAATAAGGCTAAAGATAATTTATTTGTTACTATTTATGTGGCTATCTCTCATGCCATATGTGCATCGTGCACATTGCAGTATTTGAGATACTCTTAAGGTACCATACCTTTGTCCACATGAACGAATAAGAATGATGCAGTTGAATTATTTAAATCTAAATGTAAAAAGATATATTGATTTGGACCAATCAAACGCATGGTAGGTACGGTACTCCATTTTTTAAATGAGTACCGGAGTTGTCACCGTATGATAATAGATTTAGGGTTGGTTTGCAACTGCTTCTAAAAAAACACTTCTCAGCTTTTGGTTTTAAAAAAGCACTTATTTTCCCAAACACTACAACTTTTATTTTTCTCGGCTTCCAGGTCAAAAGTGCTTTTACTTTTTCTATTACACAAAAAGCACTTATTTTACCAAACACTACCTACTTTTACTTTTCAAAATCACTTTTTTCTCAAACACTATCAACTTTTATTTAATCACTTCTCCTCATTTCATTAAAAAATATTTTTTTAAAAGTAGAAACTGTTGCAAACAGACCCTTAATAATGAACATTTGCACATTATAGATACTTCTATGGAAAGTCGTGAATAACTGAAAAGGGAGGGAGAAGGTAATAACGGACTGAAAAGGGAGGGAGAAGGTAATAACGGACTATAGTCACAGAAACAGAATATTGAAACAAAAAGATCAATAACAATGAAGTTGTTGCGAATTTGTTTTAGGGTCGAATCAAATAATTTGTGCTCGATTCGTGATTCGAATTAAGAATTAAGAATTCAAACAATTTGAATTCGAAAAATTCAAATACAAATACAATTAAGAATATTAAATTTGATTCAAGTAGTTATCAAGTACAAATAAGAATATTCGTGTATTCGATTCGAATATTAATCAAATATATTCGATTAATAATAGTGATGATATTAATAATAATATCAATAATAATAGTAATATCAATATAATACTTTTTGAAAGATAGCAATACCCTCAAAGTGTAACCCATAATATATCAGTAGTATACATTTATGCATAAAGATTCCAAGCTCATTTGTGATAAATGAGACTATAAATACGAATACAAACCAAATTTTTGGTTCAAATGTTTTTCAAATACAATAGAAATAATTATGTATTCGATTTGAAGAGTAAAATTAGAGTCGTTTGACTTTGATATATACAATTATCAACTTATTTTACACATTATAAGTATAACTTCTAATATGTGTGTTAGTGCTTATTTCAAAAAGTTTGAAATAGATTTATATTTATTAAATTAATCATAAAATTGATTCACTTTAGTATATTGTGCACAATCTAAAAATGCATTGATTCATTAAATTTGAATTCTAAAAACACATACTCCCTCCGTTCTTTAAAACTTTGCCAACTTTTCTTTTTTGGATGTCTCATTAACCTTGTCACTTTCTCTTTTAAGTAAAGAATTTTTGGTTCCAGTTAATTCTCCTTCCTTTGCACAAACCTCTACTGCACAGTTTTTACTTTATTAATCCTCGTGTTGGTCAGACTTGACAAAGTTTTAAAGGACGGAGGTAATATTAAGTCATAGCATGTATTTACAACATAAACAATATGTAGTATAAGAAAAGTTATTTTAAACTAATATTTGACTAATATTTAACCCATGCTCAAATCGATTCGATATTCATATATGATTCGTTAATTATTCGTATTGTTAAACAAATACAAATACACATCGAAATTAATATTTGTTTAATATTTGAATTCGAATTCGTAGTTGAAAAAATTAAACAAATACAAATACAAAATCCTACTATTCGACTCGATTCGGTTCGTTTACAACCCTAAATTTGGCTAGGCCCCTCCGTCCCTACGTGGAAGGGCATACCTACAGAAATGCAAAACAAGCTGAGAAGGGTGAATTTTTTAACAATGTTTATCTATAAGAGGAAACAATAAAGAGGAAATGGTCAATTAAGTACATAAAGTTGAGGGCCATAGAGTAAGAGTACATCAAATCAGGGCCGGCTCTAGCATTGTGGAGGCCCCAGACGAAAAAATGTTTAATGTTAACATACCATATTAATCTGATTTATATGACACAATATTTGAGGAAGCAAAATTTGTCTCTACAATCGATCTATAGAGTTAGCAAACTCTTTAATAACTAAATCTCTTCTAAACTTATACTTTCTTTTTGTACATATGAAGTCAAATTTTCATTTACCCGCCATGACAATTCCTACATATTTAGCATATTTATAGATAATAATTAATTAAAAAATCATCAACACAAAATCAGAAATATGGAGTATCAATTACTCGTATAAAATATGAGTGGACAAATAACTAAATGCCCAATATTATTTCAATTTACAACTATAAAATATTAGTGTGAAACATAAATGACTCATGGTGAGTAGCAATGTTTTTTACTCCGTATTAAGCTATTAAATTAAACAAAAAGGATCATATAATGACAAAATTTAAAATGTGGAATTGTGGACACCAAGCCAACACCAGAGACCGGCCCATCAATTTCAAACAAGGTCTAAAGATAACTACTTCGTATAAGTCTAGAACGCTAGAAATACTCACCTTGGTTCTGGAATTTTAGAAGTCCGGAAGAACCGAAACGATAATCAATAAAAAATCGGGAATAGAAAATACTCAAACAATCAATCACAAATCGAAACGGCGGAACCGGACTTGAGAACGAGCTGATGAGCTGTTGTTGTTGACTGCCGTGTGAAGGATCGAGTCATTTGTGATGATTGAGATAGCAGAGTGCGGTGGTGCGTAATAATATCAATGAAAGTTTCTATCGGCGGTGGAGGCTTCCAGCTTGGAGAAATGTTCTCTGTACAAACTCCAAATCCAATTTGAATTACAGAGTATTACTAATAGCTTAGTTTTGTTTTGAGGCCCAACAAATTGTGAGGCCCTAGGCAACTGCCTAGGCCAACTGGCCTCATGGCCGGCTCTGCATCAAATTGAAACTCAACCTTAAAGGTGCTTGTACTCGCTTGTTTGGTGTTAAAGCAATACATTGGTTACATTACACCGTTAATATTGGTGACTAGGCAAATGGAGTAATGAAATGCACAAAAAAAGCCATATCATCTGCACGCTCCTGGAGGCTGGCTCTGCCACTCGTTAAAACTAATTAATGACCCAGCAAACCCAAGATTTAACCTTCCATTCTTTCAACTTAAGCAAAAAAAACAACATACGGAGTACTATACTGGAGAGCATATCGGGATTATATTCTTAGTAGTAAGAGCAAGCTTCTTACGCCTAACAATAGAGTTAAGTAGCAAATCAACGATGATTTCCCAGTCCCACACTAGACCTCCCAACCAGCGCAAATTCCGGCAACCCATAGGCGGGATAGTCCTAGGTATTCACAAACTCCGTCTGCATGAGCACTATGTTGGAGCCCTTGAGGATCCAGGAACCAAACAACGCTTTTTCTACCATAACATCCATTTCCAGTGGAAAAAAGAGCTTTCCCGGTGAGACTTCGACCGGGCTATTCTTATTCGAACCGACGATGTTTGGGGCTTGGAGAAGAACATCGAAGAATTTGGCGATCGGGCCGGATACGGATTTGGGTGAGCGCGTTGGTGGGATGAGAAGTTTAGGTTTGGAAGCGAGTACGGATAATTGGAGATGGAGCTTCGGCAGATGATTGATAAACACATTGGGCCGGGTAGGATATCAAATGGATGTTTGGGGCTTGCGAGGTAAAAGGTTGTTCCAGGTTGCAAAGAAAACGCTGGGGCTTGCTGAGTCAGCCTCCACCGTCAACCAAGAAAACGGCCACGTTAGCATTTTGCAGTTGACCTTTCAATTTTGCTGTTGTGCATGTTTACTCTTTGAATTGGCTCCTTCAATTGTGCGAGTAAGTTTTTGTTTCTTCTTTCTGAATTCTGACTCTCATTATTTGTCATCGTGGATTAGAAGAAAATTTAGAAAATTAAAACAATGTCCTTTTGTTAAAATATAATTGAGTTCGCCATATTATAACTATTCATGATTAAAAATCATTATATAAATAATTAGGAAATTATAATTATGATTTCAAAGTGTTAATTGTGTAGTTCATAACCATTTCATAATCTTATTGAGCTCACACTTTCTCTTATAAATATGAGTCTTCTCCAATTGTAATTAACTCAACATTAGCACCTACTCTATCAAGAGTATATTTAATTAATATATTATCTCCTATATTCTTATTTTCTTCTATTGACTATTTCATAACACCTATCTTCCTTCGAAAGCAAATTGATCGACTTCTTGTTCAGTACGGAATATTTTATAGGAAAAATGGAAACTAATAATCCAACCTTTTAGCTGTCTTCTTTCAATAATCCCACTTTTTGATTATTCATGAATAATCCAACCTTTGCACCTCATCTTCATTCACTGGTCCCTGACCGGTTGATGACCTGCTATTCCAAGCCATTTTCTTATCTTTGCAAATCATTATACCATAAATCTTATCTTTCACAAAGATAATATTTTGGAAAGATAATAAAATAACTTGGAATAGTAGGTCATTAACCGACCAGGGACCAATGAATGAAGATGAGGTGCAAAGGTTGGACTATTCATGAATAATCAAAAGGTGGGATTATTGAAAGAATACCGCTAAAAGGTTGGATTATTAGTTTCCATTTTCCCTATTTTATATCGGTTTTCTTATTTCTTGTTGTTTTATGTTTTTCTGTAATATTTTCGTTTCCTATTGCTTCTAAAACTAGTAAACTGCCAATTTTAAAACATGTTCACAACTAACATTTGGAGTACAATTCTCATAACATAATGAGTGAGTGCAATTTGTTTAGTAAACTTTTCTGACAAGTGTTTAATTTATCAGAAAACATGCACACGTAGGGCGTACGTAGGCCAATTTGAAAATTCTTATTTCCAACTTGTAAATTATGATTACAAATGGATTTGAAAGTATCTTCACCAAGCTACCGTTTTTTTGGAAAACACGATTTTATTCATTAAATAAAGTTAAAAGATTATAGTGCAATACTTCCTCCGTTCTTTTTTAATTGCAACTGTCCACATTTCACGTTTGCCAACGCACAAGTTTGACCACTAATAGCTTTCATTCCTTATTAGTAAAAAATTAATAAATTCAGGTTTTGAAAATTTACAATGAGAGGAATTTAAAAATATTTTTTTAAAATTTAATTTATAATACATTAATAAATAAAATACAGTCAAAGTAGAACATGTGAATAGTGTAAAAAGTCCAATGTTGCAATTAAAAGAGAACGGAGGTAGTATAAAAGAAGAAAAGAAAGTAAAAAAGTACAGAAAAGAGAGGAAAAATACACAAAGACAAAATCTAGACCCAAGAGAAATCTCTAGACTGTGATCTAGTCCACACACTATGTCGTCTTTTATTCTTCTGAGATTTCCTGTAGATTTTGAGTTGCGTGTTCAGATTTTATGTAGGCAAGTATTTTTCAGAGGTGACCTACTCTGATTTACGGCAAATCGATCTATTGAATTTGGAGTTCTTAATTTCTTCCTAATTTGATAAAGGGGGACGTTGATCACTTGCAGTTGCGTGTCCTAGAAAGTCGTTTGAAAAGAAAGAGTCGTCAGAATGATCAAAACTATCTGAGGCATCAGAGTACACCTGGAGAAGTGGGGTTTGTGTTTGTTTCTCTAATGAGGGGACTTGTTTCGTTTTGCCAAAAGCTCTATGAATTTAATAGTTAAAAATGAGTTTGGAAATGGTAATTTCCTCATAGTAGCCAGAATTTTCATGCTCCCAATGCATGACTTCCTTCTGCACAAAATCAGTTAATCCCATAAAATTTGAGAAATTTGAAAGAGTAGCCAAAAAACCAAGCACACTTGATTTGTGTGGACCCATGGTAATGTTTATGTAGCTTCCCCCATCTTTATCAATTTTTAGATAATAGCCTGATCTGTTCTTTAAATTTTCTTAATTGGATCGTTACTTGTGAGTTGCGAGATGAACCGAAAGATTTGAGGGGCTAGATCCTTTTAGAAATTGATCTTTTGCAGTAGGGATTTATTAAATTCAAAATATTTGAAAAATTGCTTAATTGCCTATATCTCACCATATATCACCAAGCTACCTTATATAGTGAAGTTTATCCAATTCATTAATTGCCTTGGTCGTATTAATTTCCTCAAAATTACCTAGCTATTAGACCGACTTCCACCAAATGAGAAGTAATTTTGCAAGCAATATTGCTTCACATGGAGGAAATTGTTGATTGGATGAACTTGACAATGTATAGACAACGTTCAACAAGATTTCTATAAACTATTGTAGAACTTTGCCTAAATATAGGCAAGTTTAGTAATATTGTCTAAAATATTGTGAATAAAAGCCCAAGGAAATTTGCATTGCTTTAAATTTTGTATGAGAAACTTTCTCTTTTTTATTGTTTTTTAAATAGCATGTAAAATCAAGGTGACACTAAAACCATCAAAATGGTGTAGATTTAGAAAGATAGCCAGTTCCACATTTTGGCCTAATGAAAGATCAAGCTGTGAGGTATATGTTTTTGGAAAATAAGTTGTGAACGTGACAATATTCCAAAACTTTCTCCCATTTTTCTCAATTTACATTACCTCTAATAGTCTTAAAGTCTTGCACCGATAAAATATGATATAAGATAGTGTTACATCAAGATTCTTGGCTATGAGATTCATTTTCGGTTGAGTTTTTTAAATTGAACTTAGGATGTTCGCATAATATTAAAGTCAAATCAATCGAGAACAATACTGTGAACCCTCTATAAAACATGACCACATGATTATGAAAAATAAAATTAAAGAGCCAACAAAAAAGTGACAATGATACTTCTTACAATCCAAATTAAACGAATAACCTAATTGTAAGCAAGGGTGTTGAAATCACAAACAAATAATCTATTAAATAATAAAAAGTTATACTTTAATTAAATTTCAAATTACTGTTCTAATTTTTAGAATGAAACTCAAATGTTGAAACGATGCCACCTAACCTAAATTTTACCCACGGGTTTCAAATTGATTCTATTTTTGCTCCTTTTAAAAGAAAAGGCAGATTTATATCAATTTCTCAAAACCAGGTATCCCCAATTCAGTGGCGGATTTGGGGGCAGTTAGCCAAAGCAACTGCCTTGGGCCTCACATGGCAAGAGGGTCCCAAAATAAAAAGTACCTGTTAGTTTTAGTGATATATGTAAAATAAAATTGACTAATTATGTACACTCCACGTGATCTGCTAGGTGTTGCGTTTCCAAAATCCGAAAGTCATCATTCGCTAAGGCCGCAAATCGCAATCGCAATCCAAACTGAAGCAGGCTGAAGTAGCAACGAACCGGCGCTGTCGCACTGAGTCCGTGAGTCGCCCATCATCCAAACTCTGAACGCCTCTTCGCCGATCTATGAGTCACTTTTCTAAAGTCTAAACCGTAGTCTGTAATTGATGTAAAATGTACAGATTAAATATAAGGGCCTAAAGCAGTATAGCTATAAAGTGGCGGACACGGGGCACTCAATGACTTGTTTGTAGTGATGTTATTATTGATTTTGCACTTCAAGCAAGACGAATTGGCCAATAGAACAAGTTTGCAATGTATTTTACATTTATTTGCATTTGAAAATTTATCCTTTCGAATAAATTCATATCATGAATTTATTCAATTTATCTCATTTTAAATATGATTTGTGTAAAGTGAACACCTTTCTCCCTAGGGCCTCCAAAACGCACAAGACGCCCCTGCCCCAATTTTTAATTTTTAAAAACTGCTTATAGTAATTTGGAGAACAAAAAATACTACAGTACTTTAATACACAGTCTAATTTCTTGAGAACAAGAAAAAAATAGTTTTAAAAATTAGATGAATTCTGAGTTTTTTTTCTAAGTAAGGATAAAAAAAAAAATATATACAAAAATAGTGTTGGATTAATAATATTTACGAAGATACTGCTATTCTAAACTATAGTTAGGAGGATCCATTCCTACGCTGCTACGCATGAGAGGGGGAACGAAGCATCAGAAATGGTTAAGTGGGGCCCAAGTAAAAAAAAACTCTTTTTACTTTAAACTGCTATAATTTTTATTTCATAAAAAATATACTACCTCCGTCCCATTGGAATGTTCCCACTTTCCTTTTTTGGATGTCCCAATGGAAAGTTCTCATTTCACTAAATGGAAAGTTATCCTACATCAAAACAGTGTCAAACAGTGCAAAACAGTGTCAAACAGTGTCCAAACAGTACAATTTACCCCCTGGTAAGTTTATTTCCTTAATATGTGTGTAGGTCAAACCGGAAACATTCCAACGGGACGGAGGGAGTATTAATTTTCATAACTTTTTACGATCTTTCATATGACACCAATGATATATACATTAAATTTAAAAAAAATCTGAAGTTCTTATGGAATGAAAAGGGAAGTTGCAGTAATGACCTATGAACAAATCTAATTCTAGACCAATATTTTTTAACAAAAATTTGAAGGTTCGATCAGTAAAGTTTTTCAGACTCTACAGTTTTCATAAATAAATTAAAGTGCTAAAATTTATATTTGAGAATTATTTTTACATTTTCCCGATAGGTTTTTCATGTGAAGAAACAAAAAAAAATATGAAATGTTATTCTTTTAAAGATGAAAAAAGAAATGGAAAATGTTAATTTCAGTCAACCTTCGGCCTATCAGTCAACCTTTTTATCAAACACAAAACAAGGTTGAAATTACTTTTGTGCTTGTATAGACTGAAATTACATATATTTTCACTAGAATTACTCAAAACAGCCGATATTCATGCTACCAAACCGCTTTAAATATTGGCTTTTTAAAATCATTGTTTGGACTTCGGATAGAAGGCTCTCGAGAGGCAGAGAGGATGGATAAAGAACGCAGATTGTAGAACGCAAAAGAAAGAACCATCTCTTTCCAGAAATTTCGACACGTTATACTCTTCGCCCACCTCTTCCTTTTTAGCAATGATGATAGATATACATGACACTTCCTTAAATTTGGAGCATGGCCGAACTTGAAACCTGGTAATTTACTAATTATATACTCAAGTGATCAACTCAAGCTCAAAGCATATCCTCTTGTTTCATTAGTCCGTAGTGTACGACACCACTATGCAAGCTTGGTTGTCCACCGCCGCTGCCGCCATGGCGAAGCTAAATCGTCCCATGTTTTTCATGATTCCTAAAAATCAGTACTTCCTGCCGCAAAGATTCGTTTCTGCCTCAGTTGGAAGAACAGCTGATCCTAATGTTCACGCCGGTGATCTTGATGTAAGTTTAACAGAACTGTGAATATTGGTTATTGAAGAATACGTTTGGGGAATTTATCAAACACATGGTGTGCGTGAGATTAAATGTTGTCATTTCATATTTCTGGTCTCTGTTCTCAGGGCGATAATGCAGCAGAGGCGAAAAAAGCGGAAACAGCGAAGGGGGAATCTGAAATTAAACCCCCTGGCATCGGGAAATCGCCGTTCTCTTCTTCCAAATCCCCTTGCGGATCCACGCCGAAGATAGGAAGCCCAGGCGTGAGCGATCCGGTTGAGCCTAACCTGCAACAGAAGCGCCGCAATTCCGATGCCGCAAAAGAAGCGCCGCCAATAGACGACGTTAGTTGCACGGGGCTTGACGGCGGCCCGTGGCCGGATGAGGCGACGGATAGGCGCCATCAAGAAGAAGACGACAAGGAATTCTTCAAGCACCACAAGGCGTCGCCGCTGTCCGAGATAAAACTTGCTGACACGAGGAAACCGGTTTCACGAGCCACCGATTCTGGCGGTGGGGGAGCTGCGGATGGGGTGGTGACGTGGCGGCCGGAGCAGCTGGATACGGCGGAGGGTTCGCTGCTACGAGCCATGGAGGTGTGGAAATGGAACGCAATGAGAGGTGATCCGGATTCCCCTCACGGGAAGGTTCTTCGTGAGCTTAAAGGGGAAAATTGGTGATCGGGTCTCAGCCCAAAACGGGCCGGGCGTCATAATTAAAATCGAAGTTATTGTACATTCTTTCTTTCCTTGCTAATGACTCTTATCTACCTCCAATGGTTTGAAAATGACTATCAAATGTTGTTTAAAAAACTACTCCGTATCAAATCAAATATTGATGTTATTACTTAAACTTTTTTATACATTCGCGTTTTAAAAAGGATTTAATTGACCAATGATTTCAGTGACTTATGAAAGAATCAGTGAAATATGACATTTTTAGTTTTTTTGAGCATGTGAAAATAATACGGAGTATGTTTATATTCACCCTACGTTTTAATCATTTTTTCTGCAAGGTCTACGTTTTAATCTCATTTGTATACGGAATACATTTTAGCTAATGCTGCCTGCAGTAGCTTAGACTGAGCTTAGTGATATTTAATTTCTAATTTACAAACAATCTAGCTTTAAAAAAAAACAATGTATTGCGCAGAATGTACCGTACTTTGGTAGAATATCCTAGAGCAAACAAAACATGAAAAATGATCGAATTAATGATGGACTAATCATAGTGTGAATATGAACGGCATTGACTATTGAGTATTGACAGTACTGTTATCGTGACAAGTTTAGAGGTAACTGTAGTTGAATTGCAAAGATAATCAACCAAGTGTGAGTGAATGGAACATGTTTGCAACAACTTATACTTTAAAAAAATGTTTTTTTTTTAAAATGTTTTTTTAATGAAATGAGGAGAAGCGATTATTTTTAATGAAATGAGGAGAAAAAATGATTTTGAAAAGTAAAAGTTGGTAATGTTTGATAAAATAAGTGTTTTTGTGTAATAAAAAAAGTAAAAACACTTTTGACACGAAAGCCGAGAAAAATAAAAGTTGGTAGTGTTTGGTAAAGTAAAAGTTGGTAATGTTTGATAAAATACGTGCTTTTTGTGTAATATAAAAAGTAAAAACACTTTTGACACGAAAGCCGAGAAAAATAAAAGTTGGTAGTGTTTGGTAAAATAAATGTTTTTAAGCCAAAATCTAAGAAGTTCTTTTTTAAAGCATTTGCAAACCGGAGTCTTGCATGTATTTGTAACAAAAAGTATAATGTTAAAATACATAAGTAATCCTAGTTTGTTACATTCTCAAACTGTGCGAATTGTTTTTTAAAAAATGAAAAACGTTGATTAAGAAAACTCGTAGTACAAATATTTGTCAGTTGTAAGTAAGTGAGAACATATTTGACTAATAAATCACCATGAGCAACAAAATGACAGTCAATCTAAATGTGCTTGCTCCGAGTTATTCTTGATGCCTTAAATAATGACAATCCAAAAATCCAAACATACTTATACTTCATAACTCTTTGACATGGCGTATAATTTATTTAGTGAGTAACTGAAAATGTAGAAACCATGTGAATGGGACAGGACGGTGGACGACAACAATGGTACTGTTGGGTTAAGGTTAATGACCCAATTAGAGGATCGGCCCATATAACCCCTCTATGGACGAACGTCCAAGCCTAATGGATTTCTGTGGGTAGAGACGGACGTCTCCACAACCCGTAGCAGTTACGCCTCCAGGCACAAGGCAGAAAAGACGAACGTCGCTACACCTTGTCTAGGGCCACATGAGGTAAAGCCCAACGCCAACTAACGCTCCTTATATTTGAGCATATAGTAAAAAATAATAATAGTTTGAGTGGTGTCATTTGACACCATAGCCCAACACTTGGCTCCGTCCCTGATGAAATATCAAGTATCAACCAATGTTATAATCGAATGAATCGGCAAATTTCCATTAGTTATAATACCGCATACATATACCAATGCACACGTACAAACATATAGTAAAATAAAAAAAATATTTTATCCCGTGCATGACACGAGTAAAGATACTTGTATTACTAAATAGTTAGAATAAGAATATAACAACTAGGAATTAAACTAGGGATTGAATTATTTAGTTGAATCAGGTCTGACCGGCTTCGGTGAGCGACCAGCCAAGCGCCGATTGCGTGTTATTTTCTGAAAATTAGAGATCCGGTTAGTTGTGAACCCAACTCCGGTTTGATCACTGAAAACGTATTACTTACATCATTATCAGCAAGTGAAGAAACGGAAACTTCTCCGTTGATAAGGGGTAGGTCTGGCACCGGATTGGTTTCAGACTCCTCTTTTCCCGCTTCCCAGAAATGATGGCATGAATCTTTCTGAACCGCTTTCTTCGGCTCATTTATCCTTGATTCCCCCTTCTTTACCCTTGGTTGATTTGCTTTGGTTTTCATGACTTATTGCCTTCGACAGTCCATGACTTGCTTCATTTCAAAAGAACTAGGGAATGAGGGAGGGAAGATGGATTCCTAAAGAGAAGGGAGAGACAGAGAAGAAGGAGATGCTTAGGCGGGAAAATGAGAGAGAAAATAATTTTGTTCCAAATTATAAGGGTTTCACACAAATACTTTGTATAAGATATAAGTTCCACACAAATATAATACTTTGTAACTACAATCGTCATTGTTCAAATTTATTACTATCGAATAGGAAAAGTGAAATTAATTACACAAGTTTAAAGGGACGAATAGAGTGTATCATATTTCTTAATTTATTGGTAGATTCTATGGTACCCATAAGGTACCGTACTTTTGTCCACATGGACCAATCAGAATCATGCAGTTGAATTATTTAAATCTAAATTAAAAGGAATTTAATGATTTAGACCAATCAAATGCATGGTAGGTACGATACCCCATTTTTTAAATGGGTACCGGAGTTGTCACCTAATTTATTTTGCTTTTGAGAGTAACTCTAGAGTAGAATAATAACATTAATGAGTTAAAAAACGGATAAGGAAATATGCATCCAAGTGGGAACGTGGCCGCCGGCCGGCATTAATTATCGAACAATCCACTAGTCTGCCTTCTCCATGCTCCGGGCATGTACGGACCGGTATGGTCATTAGTTTGCAGGTCAGGTTCCTTAATCTTTCTTTATATAGCTTAGTCCCACTCACCATTCAACTGCATATATTGCTTTCAAATAGTCAACTTTGCTCGTGAGGCCGCCACTTTTATGTTAGAGGTGATGAATTTAATGTAAGCCAAGAGAGAGTAGCTTGCTCATGATATTCATCATTTCATCCATTCATGCGTTTTACGGTTAGGTACTTAATTACAGTGTTATATTCGAGGATGCCACATTGTTGCTGTGAAGTTGGAATATCAGAGCCCCATACCCTACATAATGATGGAGTAAGTCTCACTCGGCCCAATGGTGATAGGCCTTATACCCATACTCACCAGAAGTCTAGCGCAGTATGCAGAAGCTATAACTTCCACACGGCAACTCTTTTACGGCTGCTGCGGTTTCAAATATTGGTCATTGCTCCAAATTTCCCACCACTCAATCAACTGAGCCACCTGTGCGGATATGGGGATGTTTCATACTCCCTCCGTCCCAATTTACTTAGCCAAACTTGATTTTTCAAGTCAATGGTACCTAACTTTGACTGATTATATATTTATATAGAGAAAATATTAATAATATAAAAATTATATGAAAATGTTCTTTGTTGAAAATACTATTATAAAAGTATAAAATTATTAATTTTTTCATAAATATATTAGTTAAAATAATTGGTCAAAGTTTACCACCTTTGACCGGAAAAGTCAAGATTGGCTAACTAAATTGGGACGGAGGTAGTATGAGTTATAGTGGGTTGAAGCACATGACAATTTAAACTATTTTCAAATTTTTAGTATGATTTTCTTCATTTTTCATATTTAGCTCATCCTACTAATGTTAAAGCGTAGTAAATGTTACACCGAGTACATCAAAGGATTTTCTAGATTCCTGAATCCTTCCCTAGTTCTATTCACATTCAACAATGGAGAAGGATAATATTGTGGTCATTAATTACTTCATTGCTTTGAGTTATTTATCTCGGTTATTAATCATGGGAAATTTCGCTTAACTCACTTCATCTCAAATTCGGACCCACGTGACATCTCGTTCATATTTGGAAGAATTGGACGAACTCAAACTTAAGTTTATTGTCAGATTTTAAGACGGTTATTTGGAGTTCGATAAAAGTTGATCAAGTTGAAGTAGACTCATTTGGCCACTACTAGAACAACGATTGAAAGTATAATATCAGCATAAGATAAACGTTTTAATAGATAGTGGTTAATTTGAATGACAGGAGAGCAAAAATGCAAAAATGACATAAACATGCCGCAAATTATAGACTATTCTAAAGGTTCGTCACAATTAGTAACAGTCTAATCGTTCGATTGACTTTATATCTAGTGAAGTTGAGCTCAATTACTGGGGCTGAATTGAGAGCGACTGTGACAAGTTTGTAGATTGCTTGAGAGAGGATACTGTCGTGTACGAGTGCAGCTAGATTCAAGTGTTGCGGTACACCTACTATTGAGTGATGGCAAACTCACACACCAGCTAGCACCTTTCTGAGGTTGTCAGTTTTTGTGAGATGTTGGATCGGGACTGGATGATCAAAGTTGAGCATAGATACCCGGAGGACAACAGAGCAACCAATTTCTTGACTGGCCTAGGTCATAGTTTATCATTTGGTGCACACTTTATATGTATTGACGATTCTACTTTATCACTACAATTTTATATGATTTGTTGATTGAAGTTGAGTTCTACAGTTGGATGTTAATCGATTGTACGCCTTTATTAGTTAAATTTCATCTCATTGTGAGCTAGAATGATTATGCAAAAATAGCGGAATACCACTTGTTATGCTCAAGCCACGGACCTTTTAGGGACCATTTAAGTACTTGAAAAGACGAATCTCAGTTCTTGAGACAGTGATCACGTGGAATAAAGGTAAATTGAGTTTTCCGATCATATAATCAATATTAGTGCATATACGCCTTACTTAGCTTACTTGATGTACAAGTTCAAGAGATATAATTATATTATACTTCGTATAAATATACAATCACACTAAGTCAAATTTATTGAGAATAAAAGGATCTAGCTAACATGAGAAAAATACTTATATTATTTTCAAAAAAAAGAAAAAATGGATATACAAACTCTAACGGAAGAACTCTCAATAATACTTTACATATCTCTCATGGTATAACTCTTCTTGATCATGTTATGATGATGATAGAAATCTTTACAAGTTCACTCAAAAAAAAGTAAAAA